ATTGGTAAACCAGTTTTCATTTCTACGGGCTGACAGAGACAGGGGTTGTGGCAGGAAATTCACAGAAATTACTTTGGTTGATATCTTTACATTCTTTGATGGATGACAGTTTATAGAGACTTTAMCACTGCCATTCAGCTTGTTTGGTGATATTATGTCACTGTTACAGTATAAAGGCATCAGGGGAATGTAACTTATTTTACAAATTTTACATACCAAATTTGAAGTACAAATGATGACCATAGTGAAGTAATCCATCAGTCAAAAGATCGGTTCTTTTGTGGGCACTCATTTCTTTAGTATACACGAGAACCTTCTCAAAAAAGACCATAACCGTTCTACTCCTTCACCATCTGTTGAACCAATACCTTCAATCCTTCTCGGACTATACTGGATCTTTAAACATGCAGCAAAATTGAGAAAATTAGCAAGCATTTGGGACACAAGAAGGATAGCTATTATACAATTGGTAAAATATAGAAATTAAGATACAAAATGGCATCAGTCATAAGACCAATATTACAAAAATAACTGTTTTTCTTCTCACRTGGTATGATGCCTTGTGTCCATAGCAGTGAAATATGGGTATGGCCACATCAACACCTTCTATGAGGCTTTCCTGAGAGGAGGACTATAAATTATGCAGAAATATATAAACTAAAACAAGATAGCTAAAGACAAACCATACTTGTAAACATCATAAGGTTTATAGTGTTTGTTACATTTTATGTGCAAAATAGCACAAAGTATTTCACATTTTTAGTGTTTGGAAATGTAAACTGAAGGGATGATTTAACACACTCCATCCTACGTCAGAGTTACATGCTAATACTACATCAATATTCGTGACTTCAAAATACCATATGGGGAAGGGTAGATGTAATTTCTGAAATTTCTGGAATATAAGCCTGCGAATAAGATTGGCATTAATTAGTCACCCTAATACACTCTAAAAGTTTATATTACTAACCTTTAAATGCTGTGACAAAAGATAAGCAATGTTATATATGATGATAACTCTACTTTTAGCATTCTCATTTAAATTTCTAAGTTTTTTTAGCTCATAAACAGAGTATGACATTCTGTGCAGAGAAAAGAAATTTAACATTTAGTACAACAAAAACTGTTTCGCATATACAGTATGCATGAAGGCATAGAATCGAACCTGAGCTTCTGATGGAATACATTTCCTTTCATACTCAAAATATAATTATTTACCGACGTGACTATAGAGAATTCATTGACATGAAGAATCATACATTGCTTGGCAATGCCATTTATGATAATTTGGTATTCCG